GCTAGTCTGGACGTCCCCCCTGTCGACATCAAAGCCCTTTGTCGGCAGCCCCGGTAAACCTCATCCCACGAGAAATAACGGGGCTGCCGACAAAGGGCTTTGATGTCGGCAGGGGAGCATCCAGACTAGTGCGCTGAGCAGACAAACAGCTGATCAGCTGTTTGTCGGCTCAGCCCGGCAGCCATGTAAATGTAAATGAAGCCGCGATCATTTAAATCGCGGCTTCATTTGCCTTTGCCTATGTGTCTAATCTACATGCTTCTGACGACAGAAGCATGTAGTCTAGACACAGCCTTGGAGTTCAACAGAGAGAAAAGGGAAACATAGGCTTGGAGGATGCATATGCCTCAGATGAAGACTATGTAGTTGTGTTTCTTTCTGAGTATACCCTTGAAGAGCAAGATTTTGGTTTGCTACTGAGTTTTAGTGGCAGGGCTATATTATAATACAGCTGTTAAAAAGATGCCTAGGGGATTATGTCCAATCTTCTTGATTACACCCAGGCAATGCCACAAGTGAATGGTGCTGCTTGCATGTGAATAACTTACCTTTGAATCTACTGCTGTAATTTACTCTTGTACTATTCATGCTGCTGTATAACACAGAGAGCACGAAAAAAAGCAGAATTTCAGTCTGACAGATTCAAAAGTTAGTTGAGGTAGAGGAGCAACACCAGTCTCACATTGTTCCTTCAGCCACCTGGGCCTCCCAATGAACAGCACCACATGGGCTGAGAAACCCTTTGGAGACTATGTTGGACTAGAGCTGGGAAGTGACTGATGTAGGCAATACTGTCATCTGGGACAGACCTTTTCTGGCACACTTCCCATCAGGAGATGGTGTTGCTCTGAGCAATGTCGGCTTCTCCTTCTCAGGGAGCCAAACCATGGAAGGGAATGGCCACAGATGTCAAGGGGGAGGGTGGGACTCAGTGCTAGCTTGGCTCTTGGATGTTCCCAGATCTGCCGATTTCCCTGGAGACTGCTGAGCAGCTGCACACTCCAAGGGCTATGCCACTCTGCGCCTTCAAATGGCTGCAAGCCTCTTGCCAGTTTTAGCAGAAAGAATATTGCCCAAAAAGCCGTGCAGTTCATCATGCTGTGTTTTAAACAGGTTTCCCTCTCCCTCTTGTGGGTTTCTCTAAGGTAGGTGCTTCCTATGTACAGTGTATTTGGAAACATTGTCCTCACTAGTTTACATCTTTCAGGAGTCTGATTTGTCTTGTGTACTCCCAGGTTTTAACTCAATTAAAAACTATTTGCTTACAAAAATCAGACAGAAAAATACAAGTGTCACAGAATGCCCTATCACAGAAAAAGTCTTGCTTTCTCATTTTTACCATGTAATTATAAAATAAATCAATTGGTATATAAATATTGTACTTACATTTCAGTGTGTAGTATATAAAGCAGCGTGAACAAGTTGTATGAAATTTCAGTCTGTACTGAGTTTGCTAGTGCTTTTTATGTAGCCTGTTGTAAAACTAGTAAATATCCAGATGAATTGATATATTCCCTGGAAGACCTCTGTGTACCCCCAGGAGACTCATGCATCCCTGGTTAAGAAGCACTGGTCTAAACCTGTCCTAGATTAGCAGGCTACTAGGCGAATGGGTGTAGAACCATTCCCTTCTATAGTGTGGGGGGGAAATGTGCTCCTTGAGCAAGACACTGGTCACAGTTCAATATTTCTCTACAGAGTTACCATTTTAAAACCCTGATCCTGCCAAATGCCTCCTGGAAGTTATCCACTTTCATGGGAGCTGAGGTGCTTGGCATTAGAAGTGCTGAAGAAAAGGGAATCCCTTTCTGAGAAAAGATTTTTTTCACCCTAAGCAGGACAAAATGTCAAATGTGAAACTTTTGGTTTATTGACTGACCTCAGAGAAAGTGTTGTGTGAAAATGACAAGAGATGGCCCAGATGCCATCAGCCTCCCCATGAGCCCTCAACTCTGGGAGCCAGATAGGTATGGTCTATACCTGACACTGGGTGGGGAGTCAGAGCACCCAGAAGTTGAGAAAACTAAACATGAAGGTCCTTAGTAGCTTCATGACAGCAAAATGCTCAGTCCTCAATCCTGGACTCACACAATGTGATGACTATCGTCCAATCATGAATATTTCCTTCTTGGGCGAGGTACTCGAGCGGGCGGTGGCATTGCAACTCCAAGCTTTCTTGGAAGAAATGGATTATCTAGATCCATTTCAGTCTGGCTTCAGGCCTGGTTTTGGAACGGAAACCACCGTGGTCGCCCTGGTGACGACCTACACAGGTAGATGGGGGAGTGCATCCCTGTTGATTTTCTTGGACCTCTTGGTGGCTTTCGATACCATCGACCTTGGTATCCTTCTGGAGTGCCTGGTGGAGTTGGGCATCAGAGGCACTATTTTGCAGTGGTTCTGATCTTATCTGTTGGGATGCTTTCTGAAGGTGGAGCTAGGGGGCTGCTGCTCAGCCCCATGGCAATTGTACTACAGGGTCCTGCCGGGGTTCATCTTGTTCCCTGTGCTGTTTAACATATACATGAAACTGCTGGAAGAGGCCGTAAGGAGATTTAGAGGACGGTGCCACCAATATGCAGATGACACCCAAATCTATTTCTCTCTGACACTGGATCCAGGTATGGTGGCCAGAACCAGTGTCTGGAGGCAGTGATGGACTGGATGAGGTCGAATAGGCTGAAACTGAATCCAGATAAGACCAAGGTCCTGTGGATCAGGAAGCCATCTGTCCAGGAATGTGATGTGTTACCTGTACTGGACAGGGTCATACTTCCTCTGAAAGTACAGGTATGCAGCTGGGGAGTCCTCCTGGACCCCTTTCTAGAATTTGAAAATCAGATTTCCTTAGTGGCCAGGAGTACTTTTGGAAAGTTTTGGCTGATCTACCAGCTGCGTCCCTTCCTTAATAAGAATGACTTGGCTACAGTGATTCATGCACTTGTCACATCCTGATTGGATTACTGTAATGAGCTCTACAGTAGGGGCTGCCTTTGAAGAGTCTTCGGAAGTGTGAAGTGGTCCAGAATGTGGTTGCTCGAATTTTAACTAATACTCGTTATACAGAGCTCATTATGCCGGTGCTCCGGTAGCTGCACTGGCTTCCGGTATGTTTCCAGGCACAATTCAACGGTTGGTTATGACTTATAAAGCCCTCAGTGGGTTGGGACTGGAGTATGTGAAGGACCATCTTCTTCCATACGAACCTGGCCAGGGACTGAGGTCAGCTGGGGAGGCTCTGCTCCATGTTCCTCCACTTATGGAAATAAGGTTGACATCCGTGCAGAGCAGGGGCTTCTTAGCCTTTGCCCCTAGCCTATGGAATTCTCTCCCTCGGGACATTTGCCTGGCGCCAATGTTGGCATTGTTTCGGCACCTGGCCAAGGCCACCCTTTTTTTCCTGTGGTTTTTTTTTTTTTTGGTGTTTAGTTGTATATGTGTGTGTGTCCCTCGTCTTGAGGTGTTTTAGCAGATTTTATGTCCCCCCTTTGGGGTCTGTATTTTAAATATATATATAGTATTGTATTTTAAAAAATGTTGTAAGCTGCCTCCAATATTTTAAATAGAGAGGCAGGGTAAAAATATTTTAAATAAAAAAATATAAATAAATAGGATCAGATGTAAAGCCACTACTTTGTAGATAATCATTTTTCAGCAGCAACTAGCTTTGTGTGTGTTATGATATGTATTGCCTTGTGGAGGAATCTATACAGAGCATCAAAATACTTTCACTGATGGAACCCCATTACATATGCAACTTGCACTGCTTTTGTATATTGCTGTTTATGTGTTTTCTGATCCAGTGAGTCATCCAGATTATGAGATATGGGTTATGTGCTTGTGAAATATTATGTAATTGTAATTCTATTGTTGAGTTGACAGCTGTTTCATTTTTTTACTGCATCAGAGTTAAAAATGGAAAGCTCTTATAATTATACCCGTGAGTCTAAAAAAGCTTGTTACGTATATGTAGAACCCTAGTTTCATAGGAGGCAACCACATGGCAGAAGATATGATCTAGTCCAATTCTTGGTATGAGCACTAATTGTTTGTTATAAGTTTTTCAAATAATTCTGACAGGTGCATATTTTTAAAAAATAAAGAAGAGATGACACCACCATGATACACATGAACTGATGTGGTTTTACTGCATTTGGCCATATATCTGAACATGCTGGTATGAAGTGCAGCTGCCATTTTCATCTCCAACACAATTCCTTCCACAAGGAAAATCTTTACGTCTGTTTCCAGAGTTTTCTTACCTTGCCTAGATAACACTTCAATGCTATCTGCTATTTCTGGTCAGAATGCAGTTATTAAAAACACTCAGTTGATGCAAACGGTGGGTTGATACAACACACAGAATGGGGTGTAAATGTGCTTCACACAACAGAGAGCAGAATTAAGGGAGAAATGTTCCTTGGAGGCAAGACGCTTCTCCAATTGATAGTGGGGAGGGAAATCAAATACTGAAACTGCTTTTCCTGGAGTATATTGCAACTGATTGTTACTAACATCAGTTCATGTTTAAGCCAAGACTTTTCATGATTTAAACTTCTGTTTGCATACAACGCTGAGTAGTGCATTTTAAAGTCATACATATTCATACAGAATGAAGAATGTATAATGTCTGCATAAAAAGATAAGCTGTATGACTATATATGAAGACAACAATTACAATTCTCACAGCACTGTCATTAATTTTAAAATATTCAAGCATTTATTTTAAAAAAGAGTAAAGCTGAACTTAAACTACACTATGAAAAAATTATGTAACTGAATCAATGCTGACTCTTATTAATTCATTTTAAACTTTACCTTTTTTTCCTAACAATTAATTGTTATTTTAAGTTCCAGTAACATGATCAGATTTCTGCTGCCTCTGGGCAACTGAGTTATGATCTGATCTAAAGTTCTGAGGAAAATGCTTGATTTTATTTTTCCCCAGTTGAATAAACAGTACCATGTATACTATCTCTTGTGTTAGAATAGTGTTGTCTTCACATAAGACTCAAATAATGGTATTAGTCGTTCATTTCCTTGTACACATACACCCTATTGCGTGTTGACAGGTTTATAAGGATGCAGTGGCAGCCGTGGGTGCTGGGAAGCTCCTAGACGACAGCCTTTGAATCCTTGCAGTCCTGAGCAATGGTGCCTGAGTTAGTCTGTTTATTGTCTGCTTTCTCTCCCAGATGCTTGACTTGTCTGAAAGATTAATACATTAACAAGAGAGGTAAGGTCCAGGGTTGCACATCTTTAAGACATGTTTATTAGCAGATGGCACATGAGATTCAAAGGTCACCATGAAAGGTGACATTTTAAAGTGAAACAACAATATTTATGTTCAGATACTATGCTGATGAGATCATGTGGAAAATGTTTCTGATTAAATCAGTTTTATAAATAGGCACAGTATATCTATTGAAAATTCCAAATGCCACTTATATTTATAGCCTATTTTTTTCTTTTGTTGCTGTTTAGTAAATTAAGACTACTTTGTTAAACTACTTTAAAAGTTGGAAAATGCCTTTCTGGTTTTTACAAACTATTTTATTTCAAAATAATTAATTTTTAAAGATCCACTGTGAAATTAACATCTATTGTATATTCCTCAGAGCTAACATTCCAGATGAGTGTTCATAGAGTCTGAAAGAAATTCTGCATTATTTTCAAATTCTTTAGGCTAAAACTGACATTAAACACATAAATACTGATTAGTAGAAAGCTACTTACATGTAAAATAATGCACTGCAACCTGTTTGACTAAAAGCAAAATTAATCGCTAAAATAAAATTTCCAATTACCTATGTTAGACTAATTACATAAAAGCCATACAATTAAAAAGAAAAAAACGTTTCATGAGAAGGCTGGTTGTTTTATTACTAGTTAGTAAATACTACAACTAGCACTAAAAGTAAAATACTTTATATGTAAGCAAATTGTCAAATTATATGTGAATTCCAGAGGAAATGAGCCACAGTTTTCTCTGAGCTCCAAAGTGCAATTAAGCTTTTAATTAACATTTTTTTTATCTGGCACAGCACACAGGCATTAAAATACAAAAGAGGAAATTACACTTACTTTTCAAGTGCTCCATTTTCAACCTTCATAGCCCCTTCCACTGGGTCCAGTCCTTGTTCCGAAAACTGTTTCAAGGCACTTAAAGCTGCCTGAATAAAAAATAAGTTGTCAAATACTAGTACTGTAATGATACAATTATGACAGTCACTAATGGCATTTCTTTTTAAATACATCTCTCGTATATTGAGGCAAATTAAGTTAGGACAGTAGTAAAGCATCTGTAGAACAATGCTATGATAAAGAATTCATTTGTGAGCAAACACAATGATACATACATATGAATAACTCCCATTAAGGTTAATTAAAGTTGTATTAGAAGCATTAAGGAGAAAATATGTTAATTAGAATTCTCATTTCTCTAGTCTATGAAGTCTTCACAGCCTCCCTTAGTATGTTTATGAAACTCATGCTTCCCTATCTTAGGTCAAGTGATTCTTTCAAGACTCGTAGACTTTTAAGGTCAGAAGGGACCATCATGATCATCTAGCTCTAGATTCCAGTCTGACCTCCTGCACCTTTTTGATCACAGAATCTCTCCCTTCCACTCCCGTAAAAGACCCTTAACCTCAGGCTGAGTTACTGAAGTCCTCAAAAATAATGATTTAAAGACTTCAGGTTACAAACACTCCAAGACACGTGGGTTGTATAATGTAATAAAAAGGGGGAACAGTGAAGGCATGGTGGTGGTGGGACATTCCTACATCCCAATGGCTAGATCTAGAATAGCAATGATATATCTTAGACAGAGGTCAATGAAAGACATTAAGAAGCTACATGAGCCTGTACTGGATAACAACAGCAACATAACAATATTACAATGTATGTGATTTGAATTTGTTTGCCTAAGTGCATTCTTCATTCCTTTGCTTCTGTTTCCTCCCCTGTACCTGCTTCTGTTTTACTAGGTAAATCACTCTTTTCTTTGCTGGCTGTTCTGGCAACTGAGACAAATGCTTTCTCATGATTAATTAGCAAGCACTGAGTATGAAACTACATATCTCACCTTCAGAATACACCCATTATAACAAACAAGTTACCACCTGTTTTGTCTTAAAGTTGAAATGCAAAGCTAACTTGAAAAACAGATTTCATTATCTAAATGTCTCTAATAACAAGGCTGCATCAAGCATGGAACACAAAAAGTTTTAGCTCACTTTTTAAAATTTTGGGGGTTTTTCCTTTGAAACTTTCTTAGAACTTCCTGTTCACTGAAGGTATCACAGACCATGACATCAAATATCAAAACTCTCATTGTAATCTATACATGATGTCACATTCTGGGAAGCCTTCAGTGGCCCAAGAAGTGACAAGTGTATTTCAGAAAAGAAAACAAAATTAACACACATTTCACTGTGTGTTAAGCTCACTACATTAATGGGGGCAAATGAATGAAATGCTGAATCTGCTTTCACAAGGAAAGTGACAGTTATGTTTCCTGGATTCTCTGAATGGTGCATTCCCTTGAAAAATAGGTTAACACAATCTAAATATTGCTAGACAGCATGTACCCAGGCTGGCTGAATAGCACAAGGATTGCATTATTCTAGTCGGCCATCCACCCCAATATTCTGTTTCTGACAATGAACAGTACTTAAAGTTTTCAGAGGACAGCACAATAAACTCCATAATGGGCAAGCATGGAGTAACTTGATCCTCAGAGAAGTTTTTTCCTAATTCTGGGCTGTTAGTAGTAGACTTGTATCAAAAAACATGAGACTGCGCATTTTTATCTTATCAAATGCAATTATGGATTTTTTTATCCATATAAGTCTCTGAACCTTTAAAAATATCCTGCTAAACTTGAATTTATCAGCATTACATATCTGTCCCTCTGGCTCTGTCACCCAGTCCTTCTTGATTTACAGTGTATCAACACTGATAACTTCTTGCCTGCTCATGGCCCCCTCCTCCATTCATATGGTTGTTGAGGCCCTTCATTCTATAAGCTCCACCACCTTTCACCCTTTTCTTACTCTCTCCCATTGCTTAATCTGCCTTGCCAAAGCCCAGCAATGGATCAATCCAAGTATCTGCTTGCTCTGTTCCACCTCTAGCAACTCTCCTCCACAACAGAGTTGTTTTCTTCCTTCTGCGGTTGTTCTATTTTCCTAGCCAAGAAGCTTTATTTTTCCACCTTGATGGACATGTCCTATTCCCTTCCCCACTTTTTGCCACTGATGACAAAATTTCTTGTCCTATTACCCCTCCATCTGCTTCAGTCAGTGCCCCTTCCCATCCCATTCTGCTATTTCTTTCTTGTCCCGCACTTTCCTTTACCTTTTTCACAGGCTCCTACCATTCCCAATTCAAGCATGTGTTAATCTCCTTCATTACAAAAAATTAAATCAAAATTCTACCCTTGATTCTCACCTGCCTCTTCAAATACCGCACCTTTACCAGCAAAATTATTTAAAAAACCGTGTACAACTGATGCCTTGAGCTCCTTTCCTCCAACTTCATTCTTTACCTCCTTTAAACCATCCCCAACCTTGACACAGCTCTCCTAAAAGTCTCAAATAACCACTACTCCATCTTCTCCTTGATATTTCAGAGGCCTTTAACACCAGTGACCCCACACTCTGCTTCTTAAAATCATGTTTTCTATTGACTTTTGAGACTATGTTATCTGATGTTGTTCTTTCTGTGGACTGCTGAGTGGGTCTTTTCCTCTTTCTAGTGGGTATTCCTCAAGGTTCAGACTTGGCTCCTTACTCCTCTTGATACCTTTTATTTCAGAGCTTTTAAGCACAAACATAGCTTCAAATATCATCTCTACATCAATTACAAACTTACCTCTCCAGTAAAGGCATGCCTCTTTCCATCCAATCTAAGATTTTCATTTGTCTTTTAGACATCTCCATAGGGATGTCCAGCTAGCAACAGAGCCCAAACTGAGTTTTTGAACTCCAACCCAAAAGCCTTTCTACTTTTCCTCCACTTTGAAGAATTCCAGCATTTAGTCATGCAAATCAGTTATTTCCCTCTTATATATTTCTGCACATCCAGACCAAGTCCAAGTCTCACTGCTTCTTCCTCCATAGTATTTCTAATATTTGTCTAGTTCCATCTGCCTTTTCATCTTACACCTCATTCTATGTAACTTCCTCTCTAGCACTACAGCCAGCCACATTGCCTTCCGCAGGTCAATCCCAAATGCTGATATTACAATAATCTCCCCGACTGGCATTCTGACTACAACTGCCCCCTTTGTTGTTGCCTTCCACTGGCTCCCTCTCATCCACTGCGTGAAACGCCATCTCCTTGTCTTTGCCTTCAAGATCCATCAACCTTTAGCCCCACCCGAATCAGATCTATAAGCTCTCAAACTTTACCTGTGCTCTACCAATATTGCCAGCCACGACTTTCTAATTAGCTGCTTTTCTGTTACCTCAGCACTCTTTGTTATGACAGCTCCTCTGAATGGAGAAAACTCACTGTTATAATTGGTAAAGCAATCACCTTATCCTCATTAAAACATCTGCTGTGATGCCTACATAATCAATACTGTCTGGCATTAGTCAGGGCAGAGGCAAACTGAGACTTCTGCTTTTGTTACTTCATTCCCATTTTTCTGTTTTATCCATCTGTTGCTTCCTGTAGGATGCCAAGACTGTAAATTCTCTGGGGCAGGAATGGTTGTCTTGTTTTCCTTTGTCTGTGTAGAGCAGGATGAACTGATTTAAATCAGCAGAAAAAAATACCTTATTTAAATAATCAAATGTAAACTTGTTTTCAATTGATACTTAATTATTTTTCTAAAGAAAGGTTGGCTCTCATTGTTTTGTAGCCATTTAAATATGCCGATTTGTAACTAAATATAGTCTTTATACTAAATTTGTTACTATTCTTTACTAACCATGCCTAGTTAAGCAATTATATAGCTTAGCATACATTGACTCAGGTGGTGTATTTTCACATTTTTATTATGTTAGGAAATGATGCATTTCTTGTTTACTGAGTGATTAATTTTTAAATTATTATTTGCATCAAACTAATCAGCTGGAAATTGGAATTCAATTAAAAAGGCACAAAAAGCACTTTAAAATTGTTTCCTACATAAAACAACCTTAAATGTTCTGGATTCTTTTTATACAAGTTTATCAAAACATGTTTTGTATTTAAAACCAGCTGGTGTATTAAACAAAGGAAGCATTATCTGTTGTTACTGAACTGAACAGATTGTTTTCGATCATCATGTCCTTCAAGACTTAGATTTAATCTCCACAACTAGTTATTATTTGTAAATGGGAAGAGAAAACAAGCTTTCTTGCTATTTCAACTCCCAATCAGTTTCTTAACTTTTAATGAAGTAGTCATTGAACTGCATTAGTTGAAATAACTGAAACAGAGAAAATGTTCTATCTGCAAAAAAGCTGCCAAATGCTGATTTAGCACTTCAACAAACTGGATCCAGGTGCTTAGTCAGTGACTTCCACCAGTTCAGTGGTCTGAATTTCTTTAAAGCTGGGGCAACAAATGTGTACTGCTTAATATTTTCCAAGTTTAATTTAATCATTATTAAAGGTATTTAACAATTTAGTATTGTAGTAAGTTTACATTTTTAAAATAGGTTTTCAGTTAAATTCAACAGGTTTATTTCTAAGCAGCAAAATGTATTATTTTAAATAGAAAAAGTGATTTAAATAAAATTTAATTTATAATACAAGTTTTTTTTATTTATCCACCCTGCTGTAGGGCCTACCACAATGGCACCCTGAACGTGGATTGGGGTTTATAAGTGATATTATATAAATTAGAAAGTATCTGACCTCCATCCTGTAGAAGTGAATTCATGGGTTAGTTATATGGTTTTTATTTCTGTAAAAGGTCATGGAAGCTGTTTAAAGTCCCAGAGGACAGGAGAAGGGAAAACACAATATTGATCTTTAAAAAGGGGAACAAATCCACAGAATTATAGACCAATCACCCTAACTGTGGTACGTGCAATGATACTGGAAAAAATTATTTAAAAAATTAATTTGTAGGTACCTGGAGGATAATAGGGTTCTAAAGAATAGCCAGTATGGATTTGTCAAGAACAATTCAAACCAAATCAACTGAATTTCCTTCTCTGATAGGGTTAAAGACC